GTATCAGTGTTACAGATGCCAAATCCATTAAGGAAAATACACAATACTTGAATAATATATAATACTTAAGTATATTAAGTGTCATGTTCTGATAAATATTTTAAATTAATAGATGATAATGTCAAGAGGTAAATGTTGACTGAGTTTATGTAACAGCTGGATCTGTTCCAATTCAATGGATCAATGTGTATTTCAAGCCTCCAGTACTGTGACTGAGCATACAGAATAAAATAAGGAAAGTGATATAGCAAGCTTTATGAAAGCTCTGCAACTGGGCACAACTTTCATTCTCTTTTAAGACTGTATTTCTTTCTGCTGTAATTACTTTGAAATTCTCTTTATTTCCCTTCTAATATCACTACTCACTTCTCCAGCATTTCTTTAGAGAAGGACTCTACCTTTCTTTTGAGTCTCACAATTCTCTTCTTGACTGTTCTTCTTAGACTATCTGTCATGAAGTCAGTTTAATGCTCCTGACTTGTGCAACCAGCTTTCAGTCTTTACTGAAATAAAGTGTGGTTGGTTGGAGCAGCAAGAGGCATTCAGAAGTTCAGCTCTTCCCAGAAGTATTTATGCAGTTCATGCGAGTACCATGGCAATCTCGTCTGGTATTTCAGGAGATGTACTGGAGAGCATATAAGGAGCAGCAGTGAGAAAGAAACATTTTCACTAATGAGATGGACAAGAGGAATTATCTGGGAGATGCCACAAGATAAGGTGATAAGCTGGAGGTAGAAAGAGTCTGCAAGTGATGATCTCGAAGTTTAAGAACAGAGGCAAAACTATAGTGGTGGTCAACAATAGGACGATGACAAGAAGGAGAGAGCTTGAAAAGAAATGCTGTGGCCTTATTAAGCCTGAACTAGTAAGTAAATTCAGGATGATTCCTACTTCCTGTGGGGTGTCATGTCCTGAATCGCATCATTAGATGCTGCAGTAAACATGTGCTACACCAGCTGCACACCCAGCATAGTCTGCTGGGGATTTCATGGCTCTGCCCGCAGCTGAGGGAGATCAGGTGCCCTCTCCTGCGCTGAGCAGCCCGGCATGGTGGCGTGAAGCAGAGTGGCTTTTGGGGCTGCACACCCAGCATAGTCTGCTGGGGATTTCATGGCTCTGCCCGCAGCTGAGGGAGATCAGGTGCCCTCTCCTGCGCTGAGCAGCCCGGCATGGTGGCGTGAAGCAGAGTGGCTTCAGGGGCAGGCGCAGAGCTCCTGAGCAGTGGGTGCGCGCTGAGCGGCCAAGCCAGGGCAGTCATCGGTCCTGACTGCATGGCGCTGTTGAAAGTACGCTCAGCTCGTCAGCCCTGGGACAGGCAAAGAATACGTGATGCCTTTCGGTCAGTGGCAGACCAACAGGTGACAATTGGGTCTTGCTGCTGTTTGCTGGCCCAGTTTCTGGAATAGGCAGCTGCCCTCCAACAGAAGGGGGAAACACAGGAGTGACCAGCGCAGGATGGAGAATACGGCAGTATGGGGGAGGCAAGGGTATGCCATGTCAGGAAATAGGGTGGTGATGTGGCCCAGGATTGCTGAATTCAGAATGATACTGTCAGCGGAGCTGCCCTCAAAGGGATGAGTGGGCCATTAATGTTTATTGTATTGCTAAGTAGGTTGCCAGTTTTGGTTGATTGCCTAATGTGCATGTGAAGATTGTAAAAATGCTGGTAGAAGCTTGGAGGGAAAGCAATGGCTCGTGATTCCAAAAATACAAGGGAGGAGAAGAGACCAGTGCTAGGGAAAGTCTGGCTGGGCCCTTGTAGAGCAAGTTGGCAGAGAATTTGAAGGATATGCCCAGATAGCGCTTAGAGAAAATGATGGAGAAATCTGAGGGGGTAATGGCACAAAAGCCAGATTTGGGCCTAGGTTGTTGAGTCAGCAATGAAATGAAGTGCTAAAGCCTGCAGACACAGCAATGCTGAGGTGGATTATAAGCCTTGGGCTTTGCCCAAATCAAAAGTCAGAACATCTTGGTGACAGTTTTGGCCTGGAGTCTGTCCAGAAGTGACTCCAATCCAAGAGTCAGTCCAAGGAATTTGAGATTCTCTGGGTCGCACTTTTGTGTCTGACACTAGACTGCTCTGGCCACCACTCTGGCCCTCAACTCATTATTGCGTTTGACTTGTCTTGCTTCTCCTCTCTTCTTCCTTACCTTATGTTCAACCAAAAGTCAAAATCTGCTGCTCTATCACTGGCTAGTTATTCTTTCATTTTATGTAACTCCTTGGAACAAAGACCCTCTCCAGACTTGGGCTTGTGCAATTCACGTCTGTGTGGTGCTGTAAGCGTTGTTATTTTAGATTAGTTTGCTGTAACTAACGTTGTTATGGAAAAACTGAAATAGTGTAAAGTAAGAAGGCATTAATTTTATTTTTGAAACGCTTTACCTGATACCAGCATTATGAGCCAGTGTCCTTGTTATATTCCTTTCTCAAAAGAAACCATTGCACTTTTACTTTATGCAGTGTAACTTAGGTAAATATACTGAACTAAGGTTTCATTTTATTTAATATAATAAATGATTTATAAAGCCCTAAAGTTATTCCGGTTTCGCCTGCTTTTCTGCAAGTAAGTGGCGTGTTCCATTGAAAGGTAATCAAACCACGTTTGATCACACCTCGTCTTCCCTAAACTAATGGCGTAAGATGATGTATGTTCAAATCCTTATCCAGTAAGAAAACTTGTATGTAGTAAACAACTCTGGTGGGATGTGTCATCCATGTCAAGCCGGTGGGTAGGTTTAAAGCTGTTCTGTAACTTTGTTGTGCATGTGAGGATATAGTACAACTTTTGCCTCTTCTCCATGCTATAAAAGAGAAGGTTTATTTTAATTCTGGCATAATTCTCTAGATGGACAAAGTAGAACAATTTAATAGGTTCTGAGCGATGCTATGAAAACACGTTAAAAGGTGACAGGCAGAACTGTTCTGTATGGTTCAGTCTGCTCGTCCTAAGACTATTCTCAAAAAAAATTTAAAAGCAGTAAAAACCAAATTGCAAAATGTGGTTTTCGAGGTGAGGTTTGAGTTTGGGATGGGGAGGAGGGTGTTTGTCACAGTCTTCCCATTTGGCTTCTCCATCAGATTTTGAGGTGTCCACCTTTCATTTTTGCCATCAGACTCTTCTAGTTAAAATTGTCTGAAAAAATTCCTTACAGAGTTTGCATCTCTGTATCCAATGTGAAGAATAACACTAAACTATGTTTTACTGAACAAATATTTTTTGCTTAAAATTGTGTTAATGAAGCCCACAGCCAGCTGATAACCTGACAGAATACGGCCACCTCATTTACGGGAATTTTATAGAAAATACTTATCCTTATTACCCATGGGTATTTTTATAGTTTTCCTGTGACAAAAAAATTCTAGGCATAGATCTAATGTCATTGTTGGCATATTACCCAAAAAACGTGAAGGACTGGGTGGGGTACACACTTCAGTGCTCAGTGGCAGTTTGAATATCATCCTTTCCTCATTTAACACAGCTTTAGTGTGTGCACTCTTTTGTTTATGTATATAGTAATAAAGGCATTGTTAAAGGCAGCCCATGGCAGACTGGCATTCTGTTTGTGATGTGGGCCATCCATTCACTGGCCTGGTTTGCTGTTATTTCTGCTTTCAGGCTTAAGATCAGAAACTTTTTGTATCTTAATTTACTCTAATATACTTTAATTAACTGTAGAGATAATCGCTTTAAACAATGCGCCGTTTGGTAAAGCAGAAGTCAGTTGGGCTCTGCCTAGTTTAAGAGCTGGCATGGAGCAGTTCCCAGGGAAAGGGGTTTAGCTGAAAGAGACACATTGCCAGGGACTTTAATAGGGGAGAGAATCCCGTCTTGTGACATCTTTCAAGTGTTGTGATTGGAAACGTCTTGTTCGAGGAAGGTGGATTGAAATACAGCTGGAAAAATTACTGACTTGACACCATTTGACATCAAGAACAAAATGACCATCCACCGTTACCAGCTTTCATTGCTGTTGCTGTAGGAAAAGCCTTGCGTGAGCCGGGAGGCAGCATCAAATCCACCTTCTCCCTCTTCCTGCCTGCACGCAAACACGGGGCAGGATTCCTCTTCTCCCTCAGACGGATCTCTCGGTGCACTTCTGAACGTCCTCCGCAGATATTTTACCACTGTTTTCTGCGTCTGTAGTAGACTAACCATAGATTTAGGGAGCACCCTGTCTTTTGTGCTCGTAAAGCTGTGTACGCCTACAGCTGTCCATGAATTTTAACCTGAATCTCCTCCAGGGGAAGCGGTAACATTTGAAGTTTCTGTTTGGCTATTATTTTGTTTTACTCTTTTTATGAGCCGTTGTTTTAGTAGCTGTAGTTGGCAGTGGTTGAGAGAGACTAACAAATGCTTTTTATTTGGTCTGAGGAGAAATTTCAGTTTGTTTGCATGAGATGCTCAGTTGTTTTTTGTCCTCTGAATGGGGTCACCACAAAGGGACAGACTTCTGTGCTAGTCAAGAGATTTCTTAGACAGTGCTAAGCCACAATATTTTTGACACAGCTAACCTTACTTTATTTTTCATGTTCACTTGTAAATAACCTCTTTTCTCTCCCTGAAGTATAAAATGAAAATGTGCTTTTTTTTTTTTTTCTTTGGTATACCAGGAAAAAATGAAATAAACAAGACCTTCAAGAAACTAGTGAATGTGCAACGTATTTTCAGGTGCAGTTAAAAGTAACAAGAGCAAAGGCCTTTGAGCCAGAGATGGAGTTTTCCTTAATTCATGTTGTCACATGACAACACCTGAGTTTCTGTTTCCAAAGAAATATAGATTCTTAGAAGTCGTGTCAGTAGGCATGTGTGGTCTTTATACATACTATCCTAATCATATGGGATGATAGAGAATCCATGGATTAAGGCAGTTTGTGAAAGGTCTTCAGTAGTGGCTGAACAATGAAATTAAACCTATTTCTTCCTAACGTACCTAAGTCTTTTGCCTCCTCTTCCCATCACCACAAGATTAAATGTCTTTTTTTTTTTCCTCCACAGATTGAAATGCTAAGGAAGAAAGTCAAAGAAAAGGAATTATTTATAATACAGCTTTTAGAAAAGATCTCTTTCTTAGAATGTGAGGTAAGGCATTACTTTTTATATTGTTTTGATTATTTTATGAAACCCATTAAAGGTGGATTTGATGTTGTCTGATGTTATCCAGGTGGATGTTTACTACATGTATTTATTGTTCTTCAGTATGGAATCAAACTTATGACATCAATCACATATGGAATGCATGTAATACAAAGGCTCAGTACTCATGCTAGTTTTCTTAATGTACAATTTTTATAACTTTATTATAAGTACTTAAAAGATAGGCTTCTAAACCAAGACTGTTGATTTGATTTATATTTTTTTCCCCAAAACTAAGGACTCCTATTTTCATAATAAAAATGTTGGAGAAACATTTTTTTTTCTTTTGGAGAAAAGCCAATTTGCTGTTACATTTTCTTGTTTTAATTATTATTATTTAAATAAAACAAACTTGTTTTGAAAATTACTGTTTTCCAGAATAAAGAATTACAAGATAAATTGGACTACTTAATGGAAAACCAACCAAAGACCAATATAGAAACCAGAGATACTGGTGTAGGATGTGATCTTCCATCCAGGTATTCAGTTTTTCTGCTCGTTCATAGGAGACTTCTTCAGAGTCCTTTATTGGTGCTGTATTAGTAAACCACTGTATTAGTAAACTGTTGGAGCAGATTGCGGTGCTTTGCAAAATTCTAGTAATTTTAAATGAGCTTATCTACTAGCTGTAATGTAGTCAATGATTTATGGAGTAGGATATTTAATGAAGCTTATCTACCAGTTACTTAATTTCTGATAGCTACAGTAGACAGTCGTGTGGGTTTTTTTAGATGCAAACCCTTGGGTGTACTTGTTGACAGTGACATGATTTAAGCAAGAAATTAAGCTAAGACTCGAGAGATGTGATTTTGTGAAATAGGGGAAATCTTGGTAAATCATTGCTGCAAAGTCCAGTGCTGCCGCAAGCCTGGTTAATGCTGGCTTCATGCATGTTTTATTCTTTGTGTTCCGGGAGAAGCTTTCTGGACCGTTTTAAAGGGCAAGTAACTACAAGAGCTGTCCGGTGGTCACTACAGTACAGTTCAGGGCTGCAAAAATTTTTGGAGATCCTCTATTCCTAAGTGGAGGATTGCCAAGTAAACAGCACAGGCACGTTACCGCTCCCTCATCCGGAGGGTTGTCCGTGTTCTGTGGTGGCCAGTGGCTCCATAGCCCAGCTCTGTAAAACTTAAGGCATGTACGTGTGGCTTCCCTCCTCCTCCTCCTCCCTCTGGGTCCTGGGCACTGTAGCAGGGTTGTGCTGGCCCCTGGTAGCAAGGCTGTCAACTTGCACCTGACTCTTTTCCTCCAACAAGTCATTACAGGGAAGGGGAAAACAGAAACCAAAATAGTAAGGTAGTGATTGTCCTCGGCCAATTCTTGATGATCCTTGTGTGTTGCTTTTGCTACCTACAGGTAAACTAGTTCATCTTAACTGCCCTGCAAATTGAATCATTTAGCTTGAGCAATGTAAATTAGTATATGAAATTAGCAAGCTCCTATACAAACTAAAATTTCCCTTCCCACTTTAAAAGTACAGTCACTTTTGAGTCTATTTGCCAGTACTGAGCCTACAGCATATTTTAATGGCATGAGCTATGAAACCTCAAAAACAGTGTTTTCACTCAGAGTGTCAACAGAGAGGTGTCTTTTTTGTGCTCTCTGGAGCGTAAACACAGCCTCTACTTATCTTTTTTTCCTCTGGTTTTGAGATTTATCTTTTGACATGTATGCAGCTTAGTTTTTATGGAATTACGCTTTACAATTAATTGTGTTCTCAAATGAAACATTGCTGTCTCTACTGGTGCAGGACCCTTAGTCCTAGCTGTCCATTCCAATACAAGCTCCAGCTGATGCCCGCGTCTAAACTTGTCAGTATCGGCCATAGTATTTTTTGTAGCATTTAAAAAATTAAATATGGAACATATCAAATAGACTGAACAGCTTTATTTTAGCCTATCAATAACAAAAATTCATTGGGTTGCATTGATGTATCCAGCCCAGCTGTCTGATACTCTTAAGACTGAACTCTGTAAGCTTTTTCTTGTCTCCTTAACAGTTCAAGTACTGAGAACAGAAGATCTCCTGAAAGTGCAAGGCCGGCGAGGACGTACACCCCGTTCAAGAGAGTGTTGGAGTTTAGCACAAAGAACAGTACATCTTGAGCATTCAAGTCAATGTGCTTTTTAAATATAAGCAAATATCTTGCGCCTTTGCAGCTTGGTTAGATAAATTTTTATCAAGCCATAGAGAAGAACAGCAGCATGGAGTCTTGCTAAATTTATCCTGAAAGCAGCTTTTTAGTAACTTCATATCTGAAGTTATTACTGATGTTAACTGTGAGGGGGACATGGAAGAAACGAGGTGAGTGAAACAGTCAATACTGCTTCTTTGAGAGAAGCTGTCTAGTGCAATGTGTCATTTCAAATACTAGTAAGGAAGGAGTTGTATAGTTGTACAGTTTTTTTTCTTTAATTGTGTTGTAATTCTATTTGTACAATGAAGGTCTAATATATTTTATTTTCAATACTACTAGAAGCAGAATCTGAAAGTACCTTGGCAAAGGGCATTAATCTGAGAGCTCCCTTTTTGTACGAGTACACAGTGTGAGAGCTGTTCGCCCCCGTCACAGAGGCCTGCTGTAGCTGGGGGATCCAGTCACCTGTGAGAAGCCCACTAATAACCAGTGGTCTTTTGCTGGGAGCGAGAGATGCAGCTGTGGCTGCTCTCCAAGAATCCCCTGAGCACATGCAGGTGAATACCATGTTTGTTGCTCCAAACAGTAAGCAACAGAGCAGCTTTATAATGAACTTTACTTTGCTGGACTGAAGCACTGGTTTGTACTTCCCCAGCTGTCGGGTAAAGTGACTGTTAGTGATACATTCAATAGCAATTGTGTAGGAAAGTCCCTGTCACTTAGATTTTAAGCTCCTTTTGCATTGGAGGAAGGAATTCTCACTAAACAGAATTTCACCTACAGCAATTGCTGGCTACTCTCTTACCTGAATAAGGATTTTGATTTTGAGTACCGTTTCTTCCAAAACACTTAATCTTATCCCTGGCTTCAATGTACCAGCAGGAACTACTGCCTCCATTACTGCACTTATTTTAATATATAGGGTATTTTTTACTTTCTGTTTTGATCTCTCAGTTTTAGTGAACTAAAATGAATTATAAATATTTCCTTGTAGTTCTGTTAACATGACTGAAGGGTAATTTTTTTGTTATTAGTTACTGTTGTAGAAAGCCAACAACTTGTGTTTTGTATCATTAATATTGTTCTTGCATTGAACGTTAATCCTAGAAGACACTCACCTTGCCACAGGGTTTCACAAAGTGATGGCTTTTGTCTCCAGTCTAGTGTAAGTTCTCAAATTCAGTACTGCCTGTTCAAATTTAAACTCAATAGAGTGGTATTTAAAACAGTAATATTCACCTCATAATCCCAAATTTATTCTTGCAGTACTTCATGTTTTTCTGAACTTGTTAAAGAACTGTGCACTGTAACTGTTTTTTTTAACTATTAAATAAAGAAGCCTGTACTGGAGGACGGACCGGAGGATATTTTGATCTAGTATAAGTACCTTGCAGCAACATGAATTGCTTGGCATAATCAAAACATGAACACAGTAAAATGGGAAGCTCAGACTTCCCTAGCCTTTATGATCAGACCATCATCCATTTATACATAAGCTATTTTTTTCCTCACATACTGTTCAACTCCTAAAAGCTTAAAATGTTTGTTCTTTCTAAAAAGTCATACATCAAATTGTGGATTGTATTATGCACAAAATTTGAGAAATACTGCAGTGAAAACCATTAACAAAAGGGTAAATTAACTGCGGCCTGACAGAGGCCTGTCATTTTCACTGGTACAGAAGCTGTAAATACTAACATCTGCTCAATGTTTCTTTTCAAAATAATAATTCTAAAATATATAATGTCAATACTAATAATGCTTAAAGGAAAATCTGTTTACTTTGGGAGCAATGAAGGGCTGAGAAAGTTCTCATAGATATCAAAACAGCAAATAAAACCTCCCAGCTGTCACATTAGTAAACAGAAACATACCACATATGTGCTTAAATTGCTTTGCCCAGAGGACAGCTGCAAAACTTCCATAGTGGGAAAGGGCTTGATGAGAAGGTCCCTGAGAATAAAGAATTCTGCTGCCTGCAAAAGCAGTCCTTCAGACAAAGCACCTTGTCATTATGCAAAGCAGAGGAATTGTCTTCTACCTGAATACCAAAAGCATGGAAACATCTGAGATGTGGAGAAGCTCTAGTCCTAATCTTGCATAGAGTATTTTTCCTTGAATGACTTTTTGATACTTGAGTGGATTTGAGAGACTGAGTTTGCTCAACAAGGTCTGAGATGCTGGTTAATTATGAACAATTGAGATCATGAAGTGAAACTCTAAATGAGAAAAACATTTAAATTGGAAGTGTATATTAATGAGCCCAAAGGGATCATGATGGAATGATGCAACCCAAATTTCAGGTACATGCCTTGTATATGTGTAATCATATCTCCCTCTAGTGTTTGCTAACAGCAAATATTAGGACAAATCTGTTTCTGAAGAGTAAGAAACTGAAGACTAATCCAAACTGACCATATTGATGTCTGTTACAGATGCAGCCTCAATTCATACATAATCCATTTTACCATCCTATATGCCAAAATAATCCTGTTGTATTCTGGGATTTAATTCTGGACCGTGGTTTCTGAAAGTTACCTTCAGGTGAATGGATAAAGGCTAAATTTATAGATAAACTGAAACATGTGTGATCGTAAAGGATGTTAACTGAAAAGTTTAAATAACTAAAAATACTTTATCCCTCTGTCTGGCTTTGGCCAGAATTCAGAAAACAGAACTTGATGATTGTGAGGTGCTTAGTGAATGGCAGGAGAGAGCAGGATGAAATATTCAAAATGCTGTTTTGATACAGACTTCTAAAGGAAGTTCATTCTGCTTTTAATAAATTTCTGAGGATCTCTTCTGCATATAGTACAAGATATCCTAACTCTGAGACTTGCAAAATGATTCTCTGCTCAAAACTTTACAGCGACTGCAGCAAGACCGTGAAGCTTTCTTGTAACTGTTCTGTGTAAATCTGTCTTAACTATTTGATGGAATATGGTATTTTTTTCTAAACCAAGTAAGGGCTGAAGCCTATGTTATATTTTAGAGTATTTTGATATGCAATGAGCTGAATAAACATCATTTGATTGGACTATTGGTCTGAATTTGGTAACTGTGAAGGAAAGAGGAAGAGTTATTTATAGAGCTTTCCAGTCAAATCGACAGGAATGAAAATTAGCATAGGTAATGACAAATCTGACTGAAAAGATTGTAACACATCACTAAAAATTTTGTCAATTTGGGATTGAGTTAATACGTACCATAACGTTAGAAATCAGTAAAACTTCTGTAGCCGTCAATAAAAGCCATACAGGTAGGCCCCAGGAAGTGCATTAAATATTTAAGTTGATTGTATGACTTCATTTGTACTGCGATAAGTGTTCTTCTGTGATTTAT